ATGTAAGGTTTTGCGTAAAAACTTTAATCCATAACTGATAAATAATTGATCGCATTTACTATATCTAACTTAAATTCCCAGACATTGTAAACAAAAGTCTTATTTTAATTATTTGTGATTAAAGACAAGGCTATAAAAACATAATAAAACACAATGTTTGAAAATGGCAAACAAAACACAATTTTCCATTTAAGAAGCTTTGATTTCATTTAAAATATAGTAAACATGGAAATAACTTATATAAAGTAATCACTTTACTTAATCCAGTATATTAATTAAATTATGTTTGTCGCCAATAATACTTTAGCCTCACGCTCAGCAGAAATTTAAATAAATTCATTGTTGAGTTGAAAATTTCAACGGAAAAATGCAAGCGCGCGGGGATTTTTATTGTTTAAAAAACTGTTTTTGCTCTAATTGCAACCGCGTGAGACTGTCATTGTTGGCCACAATTCCCATTGAGAAAATAAAGTAAACAATTTTGAACGTCCCCTCACCCCCTAAGTTCCAGATATTTTATAGGTATTACCCCAAACGGGTGTCAAACTGTACCCATGAATCCCATTGTACTGACGGGTTTGGTACTTAATTATTCTGTCTAATATATGCATAATTTCTATCACATTATTGATAAAGTCTACCCCATACCAACGCCACGGGCAATGTACCCATGGGTACCAGGGATAACCAACGCCACGGGCAATGTACCCATGGGTACCAGGTATAATTAACGCCACGGGCAATGTACCAATGGGGTATAACCAACGCCACGGGCAATGTACCCATGGGTACCAGAGATAACCAACGCCACGGGCAATGAATCCATGGGTACCAGGTATAACAACATCAATATACCAAAGCCTCTGAAAATGTACCTAAGAATCCATGTGTAACCAACGTATAAACAAGTCTAACTCGCAATTTAATGTGCAATAAGTGGAGGAGTAATGTCTGGTTTTAAAACTTTTCAATTAATAGGTGTCTGGAGAACGATTGGGTCAGTTCTAATACTTCGTACACTTACTTGTAGTAAAGGATGTGCATAAAATTCATTAAGAAAGTCCATGATGGTGTCCGAGCGCAATGTCGTACTGCAAACCACAACATGTTTCTCTGTCTGCGCTCTATGTATGCTATAATAAAGTGCAGAGAAAAAGCGAGATTAATATTTTATTTATGCTTCAAATCTATTTTTCAAATCCGAAATACAATTTTTTCATTTCATATATATTTTAAATGTTTTGAATGTCAGAATTTTTCATCAATTTCGTATCAAAATATGTTATGTTTGCAAATATATTAAATCTTCTCAAATACATAACAAATAATGTTTATTTCACCGATTTTTTCTACAGTAAACACACTCTCTATTAATAAAAAACAACTCATGTATTTTTGTTTACTATATAACTACTGGTGTACCTGAAAGAGAGAGAGAGAGAGAGAGAGAGAGAGAGAGAGAGAGAATTTTGTCAAGTAAATTATATATGGCTAAAATCTAATACTGTGCTCCTGTACACATTAACTGGACGATGAGAGAATCTTTTAGCAAGTACATATTAACGAGAGTTACATTGTTGAAATATTGAATTTTTAGTTAAAATATAATAGAAAGCCCTCTGAATATCATTGTAAACATGGTTTTAAGCGCAGAAAAGGTATGGTTTTGAATGCATATTAAGAATAACAGCAAATATATGAAGAAATGTTTATTCTTTAGGGCATTGAATAAATAGAAATGCATTAACAAAATATTTCTAATGTAACGCCGGATTTGTTATTAACATTTTGTGCGCAAAACTAAATTCACATTTTTAGAAAAATTTATTTTAGTTTATATTTAAAATTTTTCAAAACATATAATTCTTAAGCCCTAAAAGCATGTGTTTATCTTATTTGCGGATTTTTAACCAAAAACTAAAACTAATTGAATGTAAAATAAAATAAAAATTATATCTAAATCGTGTTTATCGGTGAGAATAAACGTATACATCATAACTGTTATATTGGGTTGAATTGGGATTTTGTTGACCTAAAAACTGCCTAAACTAATGGCTTTCTCTTTATTGCAAATATAAGACTCCATTTATTGTCTCCTTTTGTTTCCTAAACAATGATTTTATTCAATAACTTTGAATTGTTGTAAAAATTTTCGGCTATTTTGCTGTTGTTTTAAAATTTTAAGCTCAAAACTGTGAAAATATTGGTTACTATTTACTGGCAATACCTTTATTTCAAACGTATAATAGTCAGGGATTGAGAGCTTTATATTTGCGGCATATATTTTAAGGATTCAGTTCCGACTTAAATGCGAGAGAAAAATAATAAATATAAAAAATTGAATGAAAAAATTAAATTTACTTTCTTTTCCGTGGATTACAACACAAACGCATTTAAAATGACGACAAAAGAGAAAAGCAAAAAATAAAGTAAAACAAAAAACTATACAATGCTATGGATTAAAGACATAACAATTGTGAAAAAAAATCTGTACACAAACTATAAACTTGCAAAACATAAATGATTGCCAACATGTGAACGGATAAACGACCTTTCAATTAAACTAAAGCTACTGTTTTGAGCTAAATATCAAATTATATTAAATCTAAATTCAAGACTAAAAATGCAATCAATTCTAACGACTAATTAAGACAATTAGCGATGAGTTTAATTACCTGTAACTTCCGCCCAGTTTTTGCTTTTCCATCCAAGTGTAGGCCAACTGTTCAAACTGTGTGGGCAATACAATTAAGGCCACGCATATCATGATCACCATAAATAGCTGCGACGGCCACCGGTCGGGCTTATAGTCGCCGTAGCCTACGGTGGCGAACGTTACCACAACAAAGTATAGGCTCTCGAATAGGTCGACATTACGGCCGCCCGCCCTCTGGAAGTGCTGATAACCGCAGACACTGTTATCAAACAATAAATGATATTCATTTGAATAGATGTATGGATTTGCTGGATTACTATATGTTAGTTGTACCTGGTAAATATTATACACAATAGTGTGGCCGATAGTATCATCAGCCGTTGGGATAGAGCTGATTGTGATCGTTGCATCGCTCGGTGCAGATCATTCTATGACCAAGGTGGTTTAGCGCAATTTAGTTTATGTTCATTTCATTGTAATTTCAGTTTAATTGTATAAATGGAACGGAAATAACATTATTGTTATTATTTATGACTTTTATGTCTATTAATGATGTATTTGTAAATCAAAAAAAGCGATTACGAACTCAAGACTTATTTAATTTTCAGACACACATTGTTTTTCAATTAACTATTGTTTTTACTTATATTTGACGTGTGTTTGAGATGTTGTTGTCGGAGGACTGTAGGGCTTAAATCATATGAAATGGGATTTTATTTCCAAACACATTATCAGAGGAGAAAGAGAGAGAAAGAAAGAAAGAAAGAAAGAAAGAAAGAAAGAAAGACAGAGAGAGAGAGAGAGAGAGAGAGAGATTGAGTGATAAATTTAATTAACGTTTAGTTGTGTTTAGTTTAGCGTTCAAAATACAATATTATGTTTGCGTTTATCACATCTTCGTTCCAGAGTTTAATAAAAACAATGAAAACTTGAACTAAATTTGATTTTTAGATAAAAAGTAATATAATCGTAATACTAATAATCAGCGACAGTGTATTATAAAATAATAATCTTGATTTAATTAAAATTTATCAAATAAAACTTAAAACTCTTAAAGTGATGCACAAAATCTAATTAATATTTAGTGTTGAGTGTATAGAATATGTTTTAATGTGAATATTGTTGAATTAAAATACATACTGTCCTCTGGATGTATGCAATAGTAGGGTAACCAAAGTGGAAGTTCCCGGACATAAACAATTGTTGGCCAACAGAGCGTATTTGAATTCATCCTCACAAACCACATGCTCTGAAAAATTGTCAGTTTTTTGGTTAGATTTTTAAATTTAATAATAAGAAAAATATAAAGTTATTGTCTATGAATTCTTGAATTGAAAATCAAATTTTAGTAAACATTCAAAAAATAAATCATAAAATAGATTTAAAAATTGGAAATAAATTTTTAAAACAAATCAAATTTTAAATTCTTTACAAGAATAATAAGAGAAATTAAAAGTCACTTCAAATGGATTTTTAATGAGTTTTTAGTTAGAAATTTAATTCAAAAAGTTCATTAAAAATCGTCGCCAAAACTCTGGATCAAGAATTCAATTATAAAAATCAATTAAACTTTTCATTTGATGTCACAACTGATGATGTGCTCAGACTTTCAATTGTGCGGCAAAGCATTGGAAATATTTTGAATACTTTTTACATTGAGTTTCAATTTTAATAAATTTTTCAAACGTATAATCATTTTAAATAATAAAAGATTTTCTTATTTTTTAAATTTGTAATTTCGTCCGTAAAATAAATTTTTCAAAAGAAAGTATTTACAGACAAATTAGTAGCAAATAATTTAAATATCAAAATAGCATTAATTCAATGTTTCATTTCAAAAGACTCAATGCAAACAAATGGTGAGTTAAATAAAGACTATTTCTTTGAGTATTTAAATCACTGAATACATGGATTTCACGCACGAATTGGTAAAGCATTTTGAAATAACAAATATTTATTTTAATAAATCTTATTATTCTTTTTAGTAAAACTCTTTCTATTGAAATCCTAATTCTTGTGTAAAAAATGGTTTAGATGTGACAAAACATTCAAAACGATTGCCTGTTTATTGATTGTTTAATGTCAAATGCGAGGGCCATTGGGATCAAGTTTACGCAATTTATTATACATGATATCACGCAAAAAGGTTTACATACCGGCGAAGGCGACGTGTATTTTATTCTCGGGTCTAAATATTTGTATATATTGGGGAACATTTGGGGCAAAATCACGGACAGCCCACGAACGCAGTATTGTGTGCTCGTCCTAAATGGCAATTCAAACAATACTTATCATTATTACACATCATCATAAAGTTTGAGTAGAAAATTAACTTTAATACTTACGGCTGCAGATCTATCAATGTAATTCCTGGCCGCTAGTATAAAACATGCTTCAGCTGCATTCATCCTGGTGAATTTAGATCAAATTAGTTTATTTTATAATATAAGAATAATGAAAATTGATATAAACCAATAATCTCTCTCTCTCTCTCTCTCTTCCAAATGTTTTTTATCACTAATAAATATTATCTACGGATTAATTAATTAAAAAGCAGTATTTTTTAATTGTAACAAGTGTTCCCTTTTATCATAAAAAAAACTTCAATTAATAGTTCATTCTTTAGGATTTTTTGCTTCATTTAACGTTTTAGTCCTTTGTTTATAAAGTAATCAATAATTAAAACTAAAATAATAAATGACAGAAAGTGCTAATTTAATGATAATACATCTTTACAATATTGATATCAAATAGATTTTATAACGCTATTATCTTTGTTAAAAAAATGCTTTCAAATATTCATAACTAATAATAATATTTGAGTTAATTATAACATTTTTGCGTTTTTATTAAACATAAATTCCAAAGAAAATTTGTCAGATGGAGAGAGAAAGAGAGAGGGAGAGAGAGAGATTATGGTTTATATTAATTTTCATTGTTCTTATATTATAAAATGAACTAATTTGATCTAAATTCACCAGGATGAATGCAGCTGAAGCATGTTTTATACTAGCGGCCAGGATCTCTCTCTCTCTCTCTCTCTCTCTCTCTCTCTCTCTTCCAAATGATTTTTATCACTAATAAATATTATCTACGGATTAATTAATTAAAAAGTACTACTTTTTAATTGTAACAAGTGTTCCCTTTTATCATAAAAAACTTCAATTAATAGTCTATTCTTTAGGATTTTTTGCTTTATTTAATGTTTTAGTCCTTTGTTTATAAAGTAATCAATAATTAAAACTAAAATAATAAATGACAGAAAGTGCTAATTTAATGATAATACATCTTTACAACATTGATATCAAATAGATTTTATAACTCTATTATCTTTGTTTAAAAAATGCTTTCAGATATTCATAACTAATAATAATATTTGAGTTAATTATAACATTTTTGCGTTTTTATTAAACAAATTCCAAAGAAAATTTGTCAGATGGAGAGAGAGAGAGAGAGAGAGAGAGAGAGAGACTTGTAACAAAATTAATTAAAATCGCTTATTGTTTTCAAAATGGTGTCATATTTAGTAATTGTGTATAAATAGAGAATATTCTGTATATAAAATAATGGCAAACCTGGCTCGTGTGAGATCGGTGTCTTTGAGAGCTGATCCCTGTATGTAAATGACTCTCTGTGCCCACATCGGCACTTGTAGTATCATTTTCATAGTCGTATCCAATTCGCACGGAGACAACAGGACCACATAAAAATCCTATTCAATACACATTTAATGTGTAATTAGTATTATATTCAAAATTGTTAATTAGTTAATTTAGTAAACATGTTATTATTGGTCTTTAGTGAAAAAAACTTTCAATATTTTCTAAAAGGATTTTAATTAATAAATTTTAATAAATCATTAAAATGTACTCTAATTACAACATTAGACATGAATTAAGCTCAAAATACAACAGTAATTAATAATTACTAATTATCTATAAATAATGTAAGGTTTTGCGTAAAAACTTTAATCCATAACTGATAAATAATTGATCGCATTTACTATATCTAACTTAAATTCCCAGACATTGTAAACAAAAGTCTTATTTTAATTATTTGTGATTAAAGACACGGCTATAAAAACATAATAAAACACAATGTTTGAAAATGGCAAACAAAACACAATTTTCCATTTAAAAAGCTTTGATTTCATTTAAAATCTAGTAAACATGGAAATAACTTATATAAAAACTTGACTTAATTTTGAAATTAAACAAAAATATCAAATTCAATATTTAGTCCATAATGAGTACACTTATGTTAATTATTTTAATAATTAGATCAATTTGTATTCAATTACATCCAAAAGCCGTGTTATTAATAAGATTGTGTCAAATGCAATGTGCAATAAGTGGAGGAGTAATGTCTGGTTTTAAAACTTTTCAATTAATAGGTGTCTGGAGAACGATTGGGTCAGTTCTAATACTTCGTACACTTACTTGTAGTAAAGGATGTGCATAAAATTCATTAAGAAAGTCCATGATAGTGTCCGAGCGCAATGTCGTACTGCAAACCACAACATGTTTCTCTGTCTGCGCTCTATGTATGCTATAATAAGTGCAGAGAAAAAGCGAGATTAATATTTTATTTATTCTTCAAATCTATTTTTCAAATCCGAAATACAATTTTTTCATTTCATATATATTTTAAATGTTTTGAATGTCAGAATTTTTCATCAATTTCGTATCAAAAGATGTTATGTTTGCAAATATATTAAATCTTCTCAAATACATAACAAATAATGTTTATTTCACCGATTTTTTCTACAGTAAACACACTCTCTATTAATAAAAAACAACTCATGTATTTTTGTTTACTATATAACTACTGGTGTACCTGAAAGAGAGAGAGAGAGAGAGAGAGAGAGAGAGAGAGAGAGAG